AAGGGCGAAATCAAAGTCCCCAAAGAAGACACATTAAAGTAGTACGATATTGAATTTAATAAGGAACAAGAAAAGTATCAATTTAAAACGCCCGCTAAAAGCGAAGAATGAGATGCGATTTAATATTATTTGTAATATTAAAACTCATCAGGGGTAAATGTGATATGAAAAGTCATTTAATTTGTAAATGGCTATTGTTTCTTCGTCAAGGGTGGTTTTGAATACATACCAGTTGTTTTTATCTTCTTCTTCAACAGGAATATATGTTCTTAAATACCATTCCATTGGCCCATTGATTCCACGTAATATATTTTTTAGTGCCGTGCCTTGTATATCTTTATAAACTTCATTATTTACCACATACTTAAACATCATTTGACATTTAACGTCTCTGTATAGTTTAGGGTTATTAATTGTAAATATACAGTCACCTATCTTAAATTTAGGATGAACATGTATAGGTTTAGGATTTTGTATTTTGGTAAGGGTGTTTACTAAAGGCTGTGTGCTTGTTTGTTGGGTGGATAACGAACTTCCCATGATTAAGGGTATAACATAACATACCTTTAAACGTGTATTTATCTTTGCCCAAAACGGCTTAAAGGTATAACACGTTATATATTATCATGGAAATGTTCAATGAATATGAGCAGGAAGAAATTGTTAATGACTTCTTAGATATTATCAAATTAAAAGATTACAAATTAGAACTGATTGAAGAAAAGACATGTTGTAATTGCAAGGATTATACAACACATATGGATTATCGCATTCTTGGCAAGCTTCAGTTACCAGACAATATTACTAATAATATTTATACTTACGCATACAAATGCAATAAGTGCAACAGATACGATAGTATAATTGAACGAATAGACAACTTATATACGATAGACCCCGAATACAGTTTTAGATGCAAGGTATTAGACTTATTATGTAGTGAAAATAACTATACCGTGAGAAAAACCGAAACTAAAACCTATGTTCCGATTAAATACGCGATGATGAAATTTTATAATGAAAGTGACGAGAAACGTATTGATATGTATGAATATCGCCGTAATATAATGATTAAAGATTATGGATACATTTTAAATATTCATAAAAAGGGAAATAAGTATGTTTGTAGTAAAGAGCGATTGGATAAAATTGATTTTGATGTAATTGATGCATGTATGAATCGTGCGCCAAACTATCCTATTTAATGTAGTTTAATATTATTATTATATAATATTAAATTTCATTAGAGCCACCTTGCCCCACTGTATGCTTACTGTTATTCTTGGGTTTTGGGCTTAGGGGTTTGGGTTGAAGAATAGCGGGGATTTATGGGGGAAGGTGTTTTTCTTAGGTTTTGGGCTTGGGATTTTGGGAATATGGTTTTACGGGGATTTTGGGCTTGGGATTTACGGGTTGATATTTGGCATATGGGTATAACGGGGTTTTGGGAATATGGTTTCGGGATTTTTGGGCTAAGATTTTGGGCTAAGATTTGGGCGAATGGTTTTACGGGGATTTTGGTTGATATTTGTCGGGCTGGTGTGCCACCGAATGGCTTCAATAGAGGGCGGGGCGAGGTGTCGTGTAAGTGCCCGAGCCCCCCCCCCCCCGGCTTTTCATTGCATTCCGAGCTGCGTGTCGCTCACGGAAGCGGCATTCACAGAGACGGTGCCCTTGGGCCCCGACAAAAAGAGCTCCAACTGGCTCTGCTCGGCTCTCTCTGCGAGCCAAGCCGCCATGGCCGCGCTGGGCTCTGCGCTGGTGTCTGCAGGGAAGATGCCCGTGTCCTGCCACTGCAAGCATGCCGCAAGGTCCAGAAAAGCCCTCGTGTCTTTCTTATGCACTTTCGGATCCGTGTGCACGTGACCGAAGACGTGGAGCTTCGGCCGCTTGGCTTTCACCGCTTCCGCCAAGAAGCTGCAGCCCACGTGCTCACCGCCTTCTAATCCTTGCTTTTGCTGCAATCCACTCATCCGCCCTCCTCTTTCTCTTGTCAAAACTTTCCTAAACTTCGTCCAAGCTTCGATCTCCCTTCCCGTAGGGGGGCATGTGCGTCAGCAGCACCTGGGAAGCTTCTCTTCAAGCGGAGCTGGGCTGCGGGAAGGAAGAAAAAGGCCTCCTGTACTTTTGCGGGCGGTGGCACATCCGAGTTTTCTGGAATGCGTGCCCAGCAATTTTCCAGCTCCGAGTCCTGCTTGTTGAAAGCCGTTTTCCAATCATGACCCTGTGCCACCCAGGGAGAACCATAGAAGGTGACACCTTCAATGCTGGTCCCTTGGTCGATCAAAAGCTCGATGTTCCGAGACGCAAAAGCCGCTTTCGCCTCCCTTGGCGACTCCTTGACACGAGACCAGTCGCTCCAGTAGGCTTGGTAGTAGTCTTCGTCCAACAACATGTCGTGGTTCCCCGGGACACAAAGCTTCCGACTGTGCGGCTGCCCAGCAAACCACTCCACAAAGTCCAACACTTCATCGAGACTGCCGTGGTTCGTGAAGTCTCCACAGTGGATCAGCACGTCCCCATCGGGCCTAGAGGCAACGTCAGACTGCCTTCTTACATGAATCGCGCTTTCTTCGCCAGTTTTTGCTCCGAGCGGCAGAGGTGGCAGCTGCTTGTGACAGAGGTGCGTGTCGCTGATGCAGACGAGGCGAAGGGACCGCGAGGTCTCCGGCCCCACACAAAAAGCCGGAGATGCCGGAACCGAGCCAATGGAGTAGAGTTGAAAGAAGACCTCCTTTGCAGACAGCCGAGAAAACTATATACAATGTTTAGATGCCCCATCTTGAGGCAGCGCCCTGGGCTTGCGTGCTTGGGGCCCCGGTACCTGCCAGGAGTTCCGGGCGCGGCGTGCCCGCACGAGGTCGTACAGGAGCCAGGGCGCCAGCGTGGCTTTTGCAGCAAGGACCGTCCGCAGCAGGACTCCATCCCTCACGCGGTTGCGGCCCACAAGGCCTCAGCACAACTGTGCGAAGACGAAAGCCTGAGGAGGAGGGGAGGGAAGAGGAGGAGCATTATGACAATAATGGATGAGGAAGTCCTGCTGAGAAAGCCTCAGTGCAACCCAGGCAGCGCACCAAACGCCCGTTGGTTGATGGGCTCCGCAAATCTTCATCCATCGATGCACTGCAGAAGCGCACACTAGTTCTGCAGACGGGCTGTGGTAAGTGCATAATGAGGACTAGGACAGATGAGACTTCTGCATGGTCGATCTTTCTGCATGTCTGGAAGCCGGCGAACTTCTGGGCTTGTGACAGAGCGGCCGAGCACATCGCGCGCGGCGTGCACATGCCTGTGCCCGAGGCCAAGTCATTGAGGATGTCCACCACGGAGAGGATCACGATGACGTCATCGAAGACTATGGCCTCTACTTAAGGAAAAGAGGACGCCGTCGAAGGAGCGCATAGACTTGGTGCCGGGCATTGTCTTGCCAGCAGACCAATGGTCCTAGTGAGAGCGAAGAGGAAGAACCGAGGCCATTTTCCGAAACGTCGGCTTGAGTTTGCAAGAAAACTGATTTCCTCTTGCGCTGCCGGACTTCTAGAAGTACTGCTACTGTTGAACATACTACAATGTGTCAGCCTAAAGTGAGAGGTCTAAAAACATAAACGATGCAATCCACAGTTCTTCTATTGACATCCGGCAGAAAGATTTCAAACAAAACATCGCAATGGCCCTAGAGGAAGCCGAAAAAACCATTATTGTGATACGCCCTTCGAGGAAGCCTGCAAAGAACTATACATATGTGTCACACGGCGTTGGCGCACTTCGGCGCATGGAGACACTTTTCGTGCGTAACACGGTCGGACAATCATCCAAAACCATAAATCTCGGCACGCGAAGATTCGTTTCGTGCAAGAGCGTCGTTGATCGCCGTTACAATACGAGAGGGTTGTCGATCGCCTGTCAGACACCGATCGTCCAAGACCATGGATGTTCGGTCATCCCCACAGGTCGTGTGAGCCAAACAGCAAAGGCATCATGCAAAGTGCAGAATCTCGTAAGAAGTTGAGACGTGTAGAGTCGGAACGCGCTCGGGAAGACGTCACATTCCTTCGGCAAGTTTGCTGGCTGCCACGAGGGTGCTCTTATTTTTCGGCAGAAGGGTACCAGAAGCTTCATATGTCGCAGCATAGGACAAGCCGGGCGGGCTGAACCCTCACTGCACCTGTAGCGCACGCTAGAACTCATGTGGCATGGGCGGTCACTTTTGGCTGCAATCATCTGTCAATGAGGATGGGGGGGGCACATGCCCCCCCTGTCCGTCCCTGTCAAGTAAATCTCCGGCCCTTGGGCCATAGGCGATAACACATACGAATGCTGGCATCCGCCAGCCGTCCATGCACTGTCACCTACCCCTTCTAGGGAGGGCGGGCGGGACTTTTCAGCACACACAGCTGTGAAATGGACGGCACCTACGCTGCAACCTGGCAGCAGCGAGACATGCGCACACAGGTGGGGCGAGGGTTCTGTGTATGCGGCGGCCATATCCCATCCTACCCCACCGCAGACAACCCAACCCTCACTGCACCTGTAGCGCACGCTGGAACTGATGTGGCATGGGCGGTCACTTTTGGCTGCAAGTCCGTCCCTGTCAAGTAAATCTCCGCCCAAAGCAGAGCCGCAGCCACGCACACGCCCATGCCATGAGCACAGCCCAGACTCCAAACCAAAGCGCGAATGGCCAGACAAGACTCAATCCTATCAGAATCAGGCCCTGAGCCCGAAGCGACCCAGCTCAAGCAGTGAACGCCAGTCTCGGTGGCACTGGTTAGAAGCGCACAGCTGGCTCCAAATCTCTGGCGCGAACTGCTGTCCTCGAGACAAGGCATCCGCCCAAACGTTCCGGATTCCAGCACTGTGCGACACACGCAAGTTAACACGCTCTCGCATGCACAACACTGCAGATGCTTGGAGCACGAAGGACAATGGACGCCTCATAGACAATCCTTTGCTGGTGCTGCACACCACACCCAAGTTGTCACGCTGCTGCCGCACGCAGATACGTCCCAAAGATGCTTTAACCTCCCCTGCACTCAATCTGGCATCTAACAATACGAGTTGTGCCAAGGCTTCAAGCGCACAGATGCAAGACTGTAAAGATGGCACCTGCTTGCCATCATTGTCATGACAGAACCATGCTGGGAGATCGGAGCGCTTCAGGCTGATTGCAAAATACTGGATATTGGCCAGATCGAGGTCGTGGCCAGGAGGAAGCCACCAGCCTCCCAACCCTGCAACGTCTCCTTCGGCAAACGCATCCGCCGCCGCTACCACACCTTGCGCTTCCTCCTCTACGAGATGCACAGGTGCATTGGCACCGACAATGTGCAAGAAGAACGCGGCCACACTCGACTCCTCTTTGCTTGCCACAACATGTCGAGAAGTAGGGTCACCAAACTTGACCCACGTGCGTCCATCGTTCGCCACTGGCTCCAGCAACTTCTGCCGCGCGGTGACTGGCCTGCCACCACACTCAAGCAACTTCCACCCGGCCTGTGCATCACACGAGCGAGCCGACTGCATAAGGCATAGGTTGGCATCCAGCAACTCTTGTACTTCCGCTAGCTGACGTCTATCCAGAGGTACAAAGCGTAACGAAGGCTGTAGTAGCATGTGGAACCAAATAGCCATCCGTGGCCGCAGCCAGCGAGCCCCGCACGTGTACCACGATAACAGCCCCACAAGGGACTGCAAGCTGCGACGGCTGTGCTGGGAGCCTGCCCTGGCCACCGCCCGCAGCGCGGCAGTAAGCCGCGCTACCTTGTCTTCCGGTATAGCGATGCACAGAGCTTCCCATCGAGGTTAAACAGCCAGCCGATCCAGCGTACATGCCTACCCAAGTATAGCTTATATGCCAAGATAGAGGAACACCCAAAGCACAGGCCAGAATGATCTGCAAGCACGCCGGCGTCGGGGCTGAATGCGAAGGCAGCAGCGACAAGCTGTCGTCCACATAAATGGCAAGGAAATGCCGAATCACTGCGATCAACCGGTGCGTCAACCTCACAAGTCCAGCAGCGACGCGAGCCCACCAGAAGGCTGCCCATGCACACCCAAAGTGACAAGTCTTGTAAACAAGCCATCTTGTGTGCGCGCGCCATCTGGTGTTCCCATCTGCATCTACAACGGTGAAGATGGAGAACCCCTGCTCCGACGGGTGCACCTTCACACGCTTGTGCGCCTTACACACATCCAGCACAAATGCCATCCATTCATCCTGTGGGTGACGCGAAATGAACTCCGCAACATCTTCAAGGGTGGGAAGTTCAATCTTCTCGGAGACCCGGCTAAGCAGATTGGCATTGCAGATTGTGGAGTCACCAATCAAGCACGGTGGCGAGCCCTCCTTGTGAACAAGGCCAAGACGTCCTGCGGCACAGCGGGCTCCAAATCTCGCCTTCGCTAGCCCACCAGGCAACCACTCCGCGAACCCTGCGTCAACATCGGCTTGGACAAGATCGAGTAGTGTCGCAGGGTCATCCAGACCCGAGCCCGAAGGAGAATCACACACACCAGGAGCTCAAGGTCAGGCCGCTCTGCAATCTTTACTTCCCGCCACACACCCGACGGCGGGATCGTTCGCACGATGCCCGTGGGCACTCCTTGATACTCTCCTTGATCCAGTAGACGAGGTAACTCCGCATCCAAATCTTGCGTCAAACAAAACAGGCCATCCCATAATTCAGCAAGAGGCTGGCCCGGCACAATCCGCCCGGTACGGCAAATCCCATGCTCACTCAGGAAGGTAATCAAGTCGCCACGCAGCACTGTGATTTCCCGTTCACTCAGCAGAGCCTCGCGCTCTCCTGAAGATACAGCCCGGGCCAGACGCGGGACCAAATTATACTCATCAACACGCTGGAGCCATGTGCGACGCAGCTGCTGTAAACTATCAGGCGCGCGGGGGAAATACCAATCTGCGTCCGAAGCCACCCCATCACCATCACGCAAGCGACCCATAGGCTTGCTCGCTGCTGCCCCAGAGCACGCACTTCGGGAACACTGCGTCCCTAGTCGCCGCGGCGCCTGCTTGGGGCACCCCGCGGCGTGGTGGGATTTGTCCCCGCACAAAGCACATTCGTGCTTGAAGCGAAAAGCCCGGTTAGGACACTTTCCCTCGACCCAGAGCCAGCATTCCCCGTTGCGAAGGCGTTTGGCAGTCGAACGCCCGCCACCGAAGTTGGAAGGCTGACGCTTTGAATCCGACTTGCGGGGCAGAGGGGGTAGTCCTGCGGAGGGGAGCGGCACAAACGGTGTCTCCCTCTCTGCCTTGACAACCTTGGGCCGCTCAACGAGCACATGGCGCAGCATGTCTCTGTCCACCACCATGGGAAGAGCCAACTTGAGAAAGACTCTTCGTCGGTGTTCGTGACAGCGGAGACTATGCCTGCCTTGTGCTACTTGAACTCTATCCATCAGCAGAAAGCCGACAAGTTGTGGGAGTGGCTTTCTTGGCGACGCATTTTGAGCGAGGAGCAGCTTTTGGAGGTGAAGTCTCGACGCAGCCGTTCAGGGGCCGATGCGCCTCCCGACGAGTGGGACCTCGAGATTGCAGGGGCTGCGTTGCGGGTGCAGCACCTTCTCGAAACGCGCTCTCACGCGTTCGCCATGGTTGGTGCGTCAACTTAGAGGAAGCCCCGACCGGCACGAGCGCCAAAGAAGAGCCAGCCACTGAGCTGCCCAGAGACGCTTGCAGCGCTGCCAAAGTCAAGCCATTCTTCCAAAACAGCCTAAGGCGTGCCGCTACAGGGCGCGTGGCTCCGCGTCCAAGGCGGCCCACTCAGCATTGCCGAGCTTGGAGCGCAGCTTGGCCAACCAGCCCTCGAAGGCTGCCTGATCGACGAAAGCGCTGCGGAAAAGTTCCTCCGTGTCATATCCGAGTTTACTGATAGCATCCGCCACTGACCCCTGCACCCCTTGATCCACCAGCTTGCTACGCCAGGATGCCATCGCAAACACAACAAGAAAGGCACGAGACAAGACAACCAGGAAGACAGCGAGTGATCGCGGGAATAATAGAGCACACTGCATCACCCAAAGTGAGAAGCGCGCAATTCGATGCGAGTACAGACAATTGAAGCGCCCAAAGCGCAGGCCAGAGCACCCAAAGTGATGGCCAAGAACAAAATACACCAGAGCATCACACTGAACACATGCACCAACACGCCTCTGCACACGCAGGATCCCTACGCCACTCAAGGCAGACACAAGCCCCCTCCGCGCCCACTCTGGAGCAGATGTCATACACCAAAGCACGCCCCATGGCGGCAGGCACAGAACCCATCTAGACCAGGATCCAGCAGCCTTAGTTCGTAATGATCGCCCAGTGCGCTTGATGGCCTGCAGGCTTTGCCGATAATATGGTCGTCGTACTGCAACATGCTGCCGCTATCAGGTCTCTCACACTGTACACTGCAATGAAACCAACCCGTTAACGTGTTCAAAATCCACGGGCCCTGGTAGTTAAGCACGTCCGCCTCCGGCTCGGAGGCGACAGACAGAGCATCGCTCTGCACACTGTCAGCCTCGCTGGCATCCAATCCGTCAAGATCGGAATCACCAGACTCTGCCTCAACTTCGGTGTCAGAGTCCAACTCACAATGCCCAGCAAGAAGCAGCTCACGAGGGTCCTGTTCCTGCACAGCCACAAGACCACGAGCCAAAGCCGTACACGGCACCCAGCCGTGCTGCACGGCGCTCACGATGCTCCTCTGGCACCGCAAAGCTGGGAGGACATCATCACGGCGGTATTTCTCGACACAACCAGAGGAGTTGCGAGTTGCGAATACGATGGTGTCCTTGCGCCGCCCTAACTTCCACCCCAAGCTGGAGCTGCAAGCCCCAAGTAAGGGGCGTCGTCTTCAAGCTATGCAGCGTGAACTTACACACGTCAGCTACGTCGAGGGATGTGTAGTAGTACTGGAAGCGACAACTACACATCCCTCGACGTAGCTGACGTGTCGAGGGATGTGTAGGCAGCCAGGCAGCGACGCAGGTGAGACAATGCCGTGGAATATGCCATCGGCCCTTTCGAAGTGCCTAAAAAAGTCACGCTCGGGGGAAGCCCGCGTGGATCTTGAAGAGCTCTGCGGCAAAGGAGGTAGCCTATTTCCAGCGGCCCCCGAGACCAGGCATCCCCAGGCGAATCCAGATGGGCTGGATTTGCTCCGCCAGCACCATCCGTGAAAGGAACCATCAGCCACAATCAGAGAATCTTAAGACAAGTCCATGCGCTGCGCATCCGAAAACCTTAGCCCTGACCACAACATAACAAGGAAGCAACCCATCAGGAAACCATCAACAGGTTCTTCGCAATCCAACATTGCCATCTCGAGCTGGCACACTGTGAATAGAGGAAGCGGTAAGGCCTCCGACGGTGCACGGCGGGACCACTTCTGCGCTGAAAGCCATGAACTCACAATAGGTCCGTTCAAGATCACGGCGAAAGGCTCCAGGCCCACCTTGTGAGCAATGAAACGCAAGGCGTGTTTCACCCCTCGAGCAGCTCCTGAACGCCTGCTACCACGGTCACAACTCGCTCCTTCAGCCAGCGCCTCCAAGAAATCCACTACACCAGGACAAGCCGGGCAACCGGGCTGGAATCCGGAAGCCCGACAAAACTGGAGCCATCTGCGCCAACCACTCAGATGCTTTCTTAGCGTGCTCGGAGCGCGGTCTTTGAAGAGGAAGGCCAACTGCTCGGTACTGAAGCCGCCCAAAGACTTAAGGACGGCGCTGTCCCCACGCACAGCTTCGGCCAGACTTGCGAAAGACAATGCCAAAGCCTCCCGCTGCGCCTCTCGGGCTGCCATGCTACTCTGCGCTGCCTGACAAACAGTAAGCACAACAGGCCGCTCCTTGGCCGAAACCAACGGCAGAGCAGGAAGCCCCCCAACAAGGCGGCGCAACGGGCGCGGCCGGTCCCCTCCAGTCGAAGTAGCGCTAGGCGACAGCTTGGGAGCCACTGATGGGGCCGGGCGCGGTAAATCACCTCCCACACAATCTGTGTTGTAGGGAGAGACTCGTACCGGCAGTGATAGTTCGCGTCGAAGCATGAAGTGCAAGCAGAGAGAAGAGAGCACGAAACAAACTTTTCAGCACACACAGCTGTGAAATGGACGGCACCTGAACAAACGGACGCTGCAACCTGACAGCAGCGAGACATGCGCACACAGGTGGGGCGAGGGTTCTGTGTATGCGGCGGCCATATCCCATCCTACCCCACTGCAGACAACCCAAAAGTATGGAGGCCGGGAGGTGGTTTCTCATAGATCCTAAACCTTGAAACCAGATGATACAGAAGTTCATTAACTTCACGGGCTGCGCATAAATCTGAGATCGAAAATTACTTGAGTGGCGGCCTCTCAGGTAACTGAATTGAAGAGGGGTGAGTTTGCGGATGAGGTGAGGGCTGCATCGGAATCATGAACGCGCGAACCGACAGATATCACAACACCTACCTTCCCACTTACACGGGCACACAGACTGAGAACTACGCATATTCGTGGACCCGTAGTCATGCCTCACGACTGCGATCCCTGATTCCAGGCCTACTCGCGTACTCCTGTACCGGGGGATTTTGTGGAAGCCCTGGGAATGGGCAAGGGCTCAGAAGGACCTTGTGGAGGGACGCAGCCGTAAACCCCTTTGTGCTGTTCCCTTGATTTGCCCCTGAACATTTCGGTCAGTTCACTTGACAGCCTGACATCTGTCGACGATGCGCGATGCGGCTGTTGACCTGCCAGAAGTAGGTGTGAGTTGCCAGGAAGCAGCACTGGTTTCACCACACAGGGGGACAACTGCGCCAATGACTGCAGCTCGAATGCCTGCTTTGGGTCTGGCACTCGCAGGACCTTCTCCGCGGACTGCTCCTGCATATAAACGAGCATGTACCTGCCATGTGCTCCGAACTGAACTCTTGTTGGTTCTCCATTCAATCTTGCAAGGTAGCTTTCAAATTATGCGTGCTCTCAACAGAACTCCGCGCTCAAGCAAAAACAGTGTTCGCCAGATATTATTACCGTATGGCTTCATTGTGTGATTACCGGGTGATCTATGCGGCGCACGCGTTGAAGGCGGCGCTGCCTCCACATCGAATGCAAGCCGCCCACCAAAAAGGGCGCAAAGTGGAACTACCCAGGCCTCCAACCTTCGCCTCCACTGTGGCCTTGTCGCTGCAGGGCGTGACCTCTATGCAAAGCTGTGTGTTTTTTGCTGCATGGCTGCGCGTGAGTGCACATTGCTGTTGTTTGATGTCGGCTAGTTCAGCAACACTGCCTTGGCGTCATCGAGTTTGAAGCACCGCTCGTCCAGGTTTGGCCTTGGCAAGTTGACTATATGCTTTAACCGACTTTAACCCGTTAAGCAATGCTGGGCGAATAGCCGAACGTAGGTGCGGTAGTGTCCGCCTGCCAACAAATTGTTGGCAGGCGGCTTTCAAAGTGAAGACTTCTCACGTGCAATTCCCATGATGCCCCGGCTCTTTTAGGGCAGCCGCCGTCGACTCCACCGCGGTGGACGACCACCGAAGGCAGCAGGTAGATCCTCAAACAAGGCTCTTTTGGACAGGCACTTGCGGAGCTGTTGCGAAGTTCTTGGTTTCAGGCCCGGCGTGCGGCATGAACTTCGAGAGGTCCAAGCGGCGGGGGAACTCGAAGCGGCTGTCGAGCTTTACCTCAAATTTTTCTGATTTTGGCGGCGTTGTACACACGCAGCATCTGGCGCACCATCTCCATTTTCTGCAGGTCAAAGTGAAAACGCTTGAGCTGGAAAGTGAGGACTGGCGGGAACTTGACAAACCGGATGCCCTGACAGGGAACAGTAGTGGACAGGAGTGGTGTGTGCCATGGCACGGTCAGCATAGTCTTACAGGAATTGACCCTCCTGCTCTCCCTGTAGCAAGGACGAAGCAGTATGCACAAGGTGCGTACTCTTGAACAAAACCGAGAAGGAAGTGAGGCCCTTCTGAAGGCTCCACTAAATCTGGACTACATCACGTGTGGACATAGCAGAAAGAAGTATCTGTACGAACGAACACTAGAGGAACACGGGCTGCGCCACAGCGTGACAGTGCTCAAGAATGCCAAAGGATGCCCCGAGTGAGCAGTTTGCAATCAGCGTCCACACAAGCATGCTGCAACGTATCAGCCTTCTTTGCACCCTGCTCACCGTAATCTCCGGCCTGTTCGACGGCTTTGCAGCCAACAGAAGCCCAAAACGCTGCTGGTAGCGACCCGAGCCTTGTACAGGTTTTCGCCATCGAGTATCTCCTCCGCAGTGAACTCTGCGAGGAACTCCTGGAGACCCAGCTCAATGACATCGGGGGTTACCAAATGAGAGGTAGAGCAAGATCCACCGACGATCCACAAAGCACAGAAACAACGCAATCCCAACACCACAATCTACACGCACCCAACTCCCGCACCACAACCCCACAACACACAAGGGCTGTTGGGCCGGCTGTCTGTCGTGGCCATGGGGTTCGGGTCTCACCTGCTGATTTCTGCTGAGGCTGCCGCGATGCAAACAACATGTACTTCTACAGTGACGCAGTAGCCCGAAGCACAGTGCTTCTGCATGCTGTTCGTCGCTGTCGGGCACACCTTGCTCCACGGTACCGACCCCACATACATATTCTGCTATATATATACACGTATACACATGTATATACATATATAGATATATGTATATATATATACACACGTGTATATACGTATGTGTTTATACATATGTATATATGTGTGTGTAAGTATGTATGTCAGTATGTATGTACGTACGTATGCATGTACGTCTTTATATGTACGTCTGTATGTACGGACGGACGGACGGATGGATGGATGCATGGATGTATGGATGTATGTACGCAGGCATGAATGCATGTGTGCACGCATTTGTGTATGCATGTGTGTGTGTGTGCATGTACGTATGTATGTATGTATGTATGTATGTATGTATGTATGTATGTATTGCTTAGCCCGCCGTATGCTTAAAACGTTGGCTATCTCGAGGTCTTAGGTAGGGGCAAAGGCAGGTGCAAGGTAAGGTGCTGGATTTTAGGGTGCCTGAAACGATGGTTAACGGGAGATGGATGGAGAGAAGATAAGCAGAGTAAAGACTAGGAGGATGGTTGAATATGTCGCCGTTGGCAGCTTTCGGCAGTCTTCGGATGAGCTTCTGCAGACTGCACAGTTTGCTCACACAACGAATCCTTTTTGTCTGAGCTCAATCGCTGTCGCTTGCGTCACTCGCCGTTTCTTCGAAATTGCGCGGCAACGGCATGGGAAGCTCGGTCACAGCAACACGAAACTGATGCCGAAGCCCGGTGACCATCAGTGCCTTAGATGAAGATGACAATCTTAGAAGCAGAGACTTTCCGGGGATGGGTAACAGTAACCTGGGCTATGCAAGCAAAATGCCGCACACATGACGCTGCCCACGACCGGCGGAGACATCGCATTTCCTGAGAACCCATGTAGCGCGATGACGATGACAGCTTGGTTTTAGCTTAGCCATAGCCATGCAGCCTGCGAGCAGGCGATAGACGGTGCGCTTGAAAGTCGTTCCGAAATGCAGCTTGTTGACACTGAAGCCATGCCTGGCTTGTGGGACAGACACGACAGCAGTTCGATCAGCAAGAGAACTCAAAGAATCTTCGAACATGAGGTCCACACAATGCGAGCATTTCGGGAGGCGTCAACACGGTATGGCGCCGGAAGTCATACAGCTTGGAATTCGTAGTCAACCTGAGCAACTCACTCTGACTTCGACTATGACTCGCGCGACTATCGACCGCAAATGGAAAGCCAAGACGCGTGGGCGCAAGACCATCTGTGCGTATCGCACGTCCTAGGGATTTCGAGATATCAGTGATCAGCATTCGCCTTTGGTCCTTGGATATTGTGAAATCCAGACAATAATATGGTGCACGATTCCAGAATCTCAGTTTCAATGTGTCAATGATATGTTTCCTCCCAAGGCTCCGAATACTCATGCCACAACAGGTCTATCTGCTCCATCTCGCGTGGGCTCAGGTGTTTCATCCAACGATGCCCTTGCTCACGTACGCAGCTCAAGGAATACCTGCTACATTCGTACCCACGCACCGCAAACATAAAGCCAGCTCACCCTACCATATACTGTACTGTACTGACAAGGACCGCCACTCCATGCAGCCGGGAGGGGCACTGTCGATAAGTCTCCTTGTCTTTGGTGTCCAAAGCCAAATCTCGTTTCTTCTGATCGAAAGCATCGCGCAAGTTAGACTGCGTGGTCGGAATCCAGTCTGGTACCTTAGGTTGGACCAAACATGGCCGGCACCCTCCATCATTTATATTCACACGGCATTGGCAAACAAGGTGTTGACGATTTTTCCTCGTCTGAGCTGGTGCACTTTCAAGTCTCGCAGTCCAAGTCTGTACAGTATGCCGTGGCCAGCCAGTGACGTGCTCTGCCCGTGGTTGATTGAAATAGACTGCTAGTGCTAAAAGACTACTCCAGCTACAGTAGAGAGCCCAGTAGTAGAGTGGAGTCAAAGTAGAGTTGAGTCGAGTACAGTAGAGTAGTCCAGCAGTAAGCCTGGACGCGACATCAGCTACCCATCTGGACAGAGACTGTTTCCTGGCCGTCGTACAAGGGTGATCCGAATCTAAATCGTGTCTGATCTGACGCTCTGTCATCCCATTCCATTGCACCATACACGGACTTGAAACATTTACGGCATTTACGGCTAAGTCTCGAGTCAGAACCAACTATCAACTATACTGACTATACTAACAATCCGTCCTAGGACTTGGAGTCCTAGTCCTATTATCTTAGGTTACTAAACGCCCAAATATAACATTATCGGGATCAGAGCGTGCAATGCACGTGCTTTGCAGCCTACTTCTTCCCAGCTGGCTTGGTAGTGGAATCAAGCTTGCTTTTGAGATCCTTGCGTTGCAACACATGCATGACATCTCGCAGACCCCGCTCCCCGTGCAAACCTCACCCCAGTCCTTCTGGAGCTGTTGCACCTTCTGCAACGTCTCTTGATCCACGTCCCTCTGCTTGACACCCGCCACGTCGAAAGAATGCTTGAAAAATTCTGAGAGGTCACTCAAGCTTTCCTTGATCTCGTCCACGGATGTTGGGATCTCATGAAAGTAGGCATCAGCGGCCATGCAATTCCATAGTAGCTTGCCGAATGAATTCGGGAGCGGTAGCTCCTTCATGCAGGCTTCAAGAGTGGTCAAGGGCACGGAGATGCTGGGGTTCTTGATCAGGTCCGTCTTCCAATTCAGCACACACCATCCCATAGCTTCCAAGTCGCGCAATTTGGAAAGTGCTGCAAGGCAGGATCAAGATTGCAGAGCAGAGCCATAATTTTATAATTCAATAATTGAATCTGAATTTTCATTCAAAGTTAAAAGTTAATGTAAAAGTGATAGACTGATAGATAGACTAGTAATATGACATGAGTCATACGAACAAGAACCGAACCGAATCGAATCCTACTGAATCTTTGAAGTATGAGTCATACAAAGATTTTCGCCCACGCGCCTTTAGAACACTCCAACGTAAAGGTCTCGCTGTTGAGCTGTGAGCACAGGGCCTCCGCGAGTGTCCGGTCGTTATCCTTCATAGCTTTCTGCAAAGGCTCCAACCTTGGCATTGCGGCTGCCAAGTTCCTCGTCTTTAACTCGCTCATCTTCTGGGCCATGGACATCACGTTTTGGCTCAACTTCTCGGAGAGCCTTAATTAAGCTCGCCGCCCGCAGCCTTGCGTCATCAAAGCATTCGCCGCCTTCGGATATGGCCGCGTGAAGCTCAATGACATGCACGATGCAGCTGCTCAGCACTGCCTTGTCATGGTACTCGTCGAGGGCAAAGAGATCCGACTGCTGGTGCTTCGGCTTCTCGGCATCCTCCACAACCTGTGCTAGGCGCAGAAGGCGTTCTGCCTCAGCGCCAACATTTGCACGAACACTGGCATCAAGAGCCAGCAGTGCGGAGGTCTGGCCCTTCTGCATGAGCGACTTGCACCAAAGCACTGGACGGTTCTGAAGCTTGGAAGCTATGTTCACTGTCGCCACCGCAATGTCCTTCATCTTGTCCGGCAGTGCCAGCCCACCTCGGTTCACGCGAAGCGATTGAAATTAGCCGCACTGGCCCTCATCTACGAGCCAATACAAAACCTGAGTCATGATGTAACCAAACGTAGCATAACTGAGATGATATGACTCATACCAAAGAGCTGAGGTTGCAGTCCTCCACAAACTCATTTGCTGCCTTCACGGCCTTGCTCTGTGTCTGCAGCTTGTGATCACTTGCGCTGCCACGGCGAACGAATGCGGTGTTAACTCCGCCTCGGCAAGGGCCGTCTTGATCCGGACATGAGCCCCGTCTGCAACAGCAAGGCCCATTGTGTGAATGCTGGTGTCGGCCATCTCTGACCAACCATCGACCTGTGCGAAAGGGCAGGTACCAAAGTTGATGAAATTTCATTACTTAAGTTACTGTTGTGAATCCTCACCTCGAACAGTTTTGCAATCTTGCAGAAGTTCTTGAAGTGGGCTGGCTCGGAAATGTGCTCGAGCAATGCCTTCTGCTTGTCAGCCGATGCACCCGCGACATTGATGTCATCCTTCATCACTTGAACAATTTCCCCCATCACGCCTGGAGTCATTGCCTTCACAATCTCAGCCATCTCGGTCACGTAGGTGGTCAGCTGCTTGGCCTCCTCACCACTGGTCTCCAGGCTGTTGGACACAGGCCCAAGTTGCGCATGGCACACCTTGGCAGCCAGCACGGCATCTGCGCAAGTGGTCGTGCTGAGGCAATTCATGTAGAAGAAGGGGTCCCCCTTCTCCTTCATCTCCTCCACAAGCGTGTAAGGATACCGCTGGAGCACTCTTTTGCACTCTTCGCTCACAGAGGCTGCTGTGATGCACCGGGATGCTGCAACCTCGAGCTTCGACATCCGCTGCCTCAGAGCCAGCCAATAATAGAAATAGAGTAAGTTAAACGACAGGGATAGCGATTGCGCACAAAATGTTAAGTTCAGTTCTTCGAATTCAATATTGAGCCGGGATATCTCAGCAGATCAACCGAGATGCTTGCCAACCCCGACCCGCAGGAGCGTCTTGGTTCCCTCCATGAGCAAACTCTTCCGCTCCACGACAGCACGGGCGATCATATTCTCCAGGGCGGTTCCACCAGCCTGATCCAAGCTGGTTACAGCTCCATTATGTATCATATAGTATGATAGATTAGATAGAAAAATGACTAAAATGACATAACATAAGCTTAAAAATTAAAAACCCTAGACTTACCTCCGGATGATCTCATTTCACTCATGACTCATGTCAAATCGCCTCTCCGTAGTTGGTCCAGAGGCTACGTGCCACCTGGACTTCGAAGGCAACACGCGTAGACCAGCGGGACCCGGCCACAGGCAAATCCGAAGGTTGCCACTCAGCGGGCAAGCTGAGCATGTCCAACGGCGTGACTTGCAGCATCATGGATTCATCTGAATTCGACTTGAAATAATTAATCGTCATTGAGTGAGTCAATTTAAATCACTTAAATAATTATTACTAATTACTAATTCTTACTTACTACTTACTGCTTACTGCTTACTATTTACTGTTACGGACAGATTACTACAGTATACAGTATACAGTATACAGTATACATAGTCTAGTCACATTTGTACAGTTTGTACCGTCACTAAACATAGACTACACTACACAGACAGAGACTGAAACGGAGACTCGGATGTGAAATGCTGAAATGCTCGACATGACATACCGCTCCCACAGACCACGCAACGCACCAATCACCTTGCGAATCTTGTCGTCCACTTTCATGCGCCAGATCTTGTCGAGCGTCATCAACATGACTTGAGTCTGCAGCAGGCCTGCATGCTTGTCGTCTAGCATGGATCTGTAGAGTGCCAAGCACAAGCCGGTGGTGTTCGGGGCTGGCTCAAAGGCAATCAAGTTCATGATCGTTTTGACACGCTCAAGATCCTCACAAGGGTCCGATCTCAACATGAATCATCGAATCATATCACATTAGGCGTACTACTTATAGGCATAGGAACAACCGCACCGTCCTGGTCCATGTCCTTCATCAGAGTTCCAGCCGTCTGGATCACAATGGTGGACATCAGGGAGGGATCCAGCTTCAGCAGGCACTCACGATCTTCCTCGCTCAGCTGGGCCACATACTGCATTGGCGATTTCCGGAGCGCGCCCAAGAGGCTGAACTTCTTTGGAACCCATTCCACCAGGCCCAGCATGTTGTCCATCAGCTGCTGGTGCGAGGGATCACCAAGAAGCTTCTGCGCATGCTTTTCCAAAGCTTCTACAGCTTGGTCCACTGCACGCTTTTTCACCTTGCTCCGACACGGCCTGGCGCTTAGACTCATACATCTCCAAGGCTTTCTTGGCGATGTCCGGCTTCACAGTGGCACCAGGGGCGTTGACCGTCTCTCCGCTCTTCTCAGGCGCGAGTAGAAAGGGACCCAGCTGAGCAGCCGATGATGGCGGTGTTGCCGGTGGCGTGGGTACTGCCCTCTCCCTGTCCCCGAGCTGCAGCTGCATCCTGCCACTTTTCCTGGAACGCCCAGACCTTCCACCCTCACTGCCCAACTGGCCCAACTTGGGCAGTTTCCCACGCTTGTTGTCCTTCGACTGCTGGCGATTGGTTGACCCGCACGGCTTGCCGGCTGCAACCAATTCCTCAAACTCCATATCCATGGCCGCCTCATCATCGTCATGCCCATCCAGGCAGCCAACATCACCCATCTCAATCTCGGCCTCTGTCTGCTCGCTCTCTAGCCCCATCGCGGCCTGGTGCTCAGCAATCCTCTCATCAACTGCAGCCTCAGACTGCAGACCTGCACGGAAGCTTGCCAGCCCAGCTGTTTCCTCACGGAAAACCGTAGCGGCCTCTTTGCCATCCTCATGGCTCTCTTCCTGCCGACTGAGATGGACAAAACTTCCTACTTGTAACCTGCTATCACATTACCAATCTATTTTGCGTTGTCCTTAAACAATAAATAACCTACAGCCTATAAACGGCCTAGCCTCGCCTAGCTTAAAAGAACATCCGGCCATCCTATTATGTTGTGCATGGAAAGACACGCACACAAACACACGAGAATCAGAATCTGAGTGTCAGGGTGATCTTGCAAGAGAATATAATATGATGTTTCGGATTGCGGCGAACATGCCTGTATCTTGTGCAACTGCAAACGCATGCCCACGTCTATGCACGCACCTACGCCTACCCACGTTCGTCAAGCACGCACGAACGAACCATCGAATGCACATGTGCACTCAGTCACAGACACGGACCCATCTGTCCCCACACACAGACACCACAATCACACACACACACACACACACGCACACTTACAGTCTTACAGTCACTTACACACTTACACACAGACACACACACACACACCCACGCACACACAAACACGCAGACACACACACACACAC